TGGGCATGATTTTCCTTACCAAAGTTATATATTCTTATACTCGACAAAACTCCATCATCTTCAAAAGCATTTAAAAATAAATAATATTTATATATATATTGTGTATTTCGGTTCTATATCTGTGTATAATTTATAAGTATATATTGATTATATTACTATATAAGAACTGTAATTTACTAGTGTTATAGTTTTTAAAGACTTTTAATAATAGTGATATTCCTGGACAATTCGCACAGTGCCATCTAGTCCCAAGCTAAGCAGAGCTTGTGTTATGGGTAGACTATATATAGTATTAGATATAAATACTAACATACTTTTTTTAAGAATACATAGAAAACACCCAGAGCGCTACAAAGAATCAATTATACTATATGAATACAAATACTTATTTCTTAAGATCGTTGTATCCTGTTATTTTAAATGTATTTACTATAAATATAGTGTTACAAACAAACAAATGTTGGTACCGTGCGAGGAATGAAACCTGCGACCATCGGAAATGAAGCAGTGTGCTAAACCACTAGACCACCGAGGCCGTTAATTTGGAAACAATTATTAATTATCTCAGACTGCCGTTGTCACATTACAATTTGCGTTCATTTCTATCAGTCCACTGTCCTGTCTTTAGAGATGTCGCATCGAGGAACCCATCTCATACGACCGGGTGCTATTGGAAATGTCAGTTTATTACCTAATACAAAAACGTAGGGCTGTCACAACTCACTTAACCCATGGTGACGCCACCGGATGGACCCCAATAAATTATCGTCATTATTGGCCAAAAAATATGCTGATTTTTCCTTCACGAAAAATGTGTGGGATTTCAACGTATATTTAACGTCTATCTCGTTTAAATAAACTGAGACAGACTGTGTTATTTTATTGGATATCAAAATGAATGTGGTATTGATGTTTTAGAATGGTCTTTATTATTGTACTTATAAATTTAATACCATGGTGAAGTTGTTTATATTCAGATATTCGATATTGGTATAATAACATAAAATAAGAAATAGATGTTTCAAATGGAAAAGTCATTTCCAATTGGTTTTTAGATGGTTTCATTCATACTTATTCCACTTCGTAATTCCGTCTGATATTTGCCATAAAGGTTTTGCATGTAGCAAATTTATAATATATTTTTATTTAGCGAATATAAATAACATATAATAAATATTGATTTACTTGCTTACAATAAATTCATATTTCCATATAAATATCAATCACATAATATATTATAAATTTATGTGTTAATTATTTATGTATACATGTTATTTATTGTACATATATAATATCTATTTCATATATATAAATATATATTTCCAGATAGCCATGATGCATCTGTTGGGAGATATCTGTATGTACTTCTAATTCTGAAATTTAATACTATATTACTAGCTAATGCAAACGTCGTTTTGCCAAATAAATTAAAATAGCTATTAAAAAATAGAGGTTGGTGAAAAATATATAGCAGCCGATTCTCAGATCTACTGAATATGCACATACAAATTTTATAAAAATCGGTCAAGTCGTTTTGGAAAAGTATGGTAACATTGTTCATATATAAGATGATATCAAATTCGTCATGTAAAATAAATGTTTCGATTCCCTTTCATGTTCGTAAAATACCACAGAAATGGACGAAAAAAGTAGTCGACACGTAGATACGTCAGTAGCAATGAAATATCTAGGTCTATTCATATAGGATAAATTCTATGGATAGATTCTATTTTCATTTAGTAATCAACTTGACGGTACGGTTTTCCAATTTACCTATATTTGAAACGCCAGGAATATATCTGCCCTATTTTTATTTTACTAAATAGACCTGTTGAATCAACAGTATGTAGAGTTATATTATTCAATTTGTATTTTCATTTTATTAAATAAAAAATAATATTGTATTTAAAAAGGCCAAATTCATAATGTGATGTTTTAAAAAAATGGCTCGCACATTTAAATATTTTAAAGCTTTTTGTCTCTTTATTTACAGTTAAGATTACTGTATTTATAGTTTTAAAATATTTTTTACTAATTTCGTTCAAATAATTTACCTTAGATTGGGTTATCGAGTCTACTTTAATATACGGGTATCTACGAGGAAGAACTGTATAGTACTTCTAAGCGCTCTGAATTCCATTTCTTCTTTATATAATCTCTGCTACGTAGCTATCAAAAAGATTAATATTTTTCCTGGATACAAATTAGTGTCAATTTAATATGACCTTATGGCCAGCGGGATTTAATTCGGGGTAGTAAACACAACGCTTAAGGCTGCATGTCTCTAACTACTCTCCATACAAAACATGCAGCTATGAAACATTTATGTAACATAATCCAAATATAAAGGCTTTTCTTTTTTACAGTAACTAACAATTACATATAATTAATAGTAGAAAATATTCACACTTGAAGAAATTTTGTTCGTAGGTTAAGGCGTCTAATATCAGTGTTTAGCACTTTTACAACTTTATTTTAGAATTACACGTAACGTGATAAATTCATTAAAAAAATCATTCAACAATTTTCCATCAAATAAGGACCTATCTTGGCTCATTCGTATGAACAATCCAAGACGATTTAAAAGCTTTAAAATAAGTGCAAATCATTTTATTCATGTTAAACTAGAATAACGAAAACGTACCTTTATATTCACAGTAATAATATATAAAGCATTTCGATTGCATAAAGATAGAACCAATACATATAATACCTACATTGTGATTTTGTTTCGTGGACATACTCTTAAAATTAGTAATTTTTCTTTTTTATAAATTTTCAGAACGGAATCAAGTCACGTTGTTAAAATCATTAGGAAGCAAGCATTCGCGTTTGTTCACCGATAGAACGACAAAATGGAATCGGTTGAGAACCCCACTAACCCGGCAGCCATAGTCACGTTGGCCCAATCTACTAGGAATAGGGATCACGGCGATCACGCCTTACATCGAGTGCGGTGGGCAATGTATGCATAGGAAAAAAACTAAGGAATACACATACAGGATCATAATAATAAGACATATGCCAAAAGGATGTCGCCACAAAGAAAGCGACAGATATTACTTTAAATAAAAAGAAATGAGTAGGTGTATTATGTGTATTTTTTTCACGAATATTTTTATTTCAGAATTATTATCTAAATTATTTACCCATCAATTCGCATTATACAAACGCATTATACAAATTTTACGACAAATTTGTATAATGCGTTTCAGTAGCATAATGTTTTTTTTATCTATGCATTTTATGCTTAAGTTTAAAAAATATTGGCATATAAATTTTCACATATTAATATAAAGATACTAGCTGACCCGCCCAATTTACATAATATCTTTTTAAATTATAGCCTATAGGTATGTTAGTCATTTGTATAAGCTATATTACTATAAAGTGACATCAAAATCCGATCAGTAGTTTTTGCATGAAAGTGTAATAAATATCCATCCATTCATCCATACTCACCAACTTTCGCGCTTATAATATTAGTAAGATTCCAGATGACTGGTATCTACGCAACATAAAAATGCTTTTTACTAATTATATCACTATGAAATTATTCCGTAATGTAATATAACGTAACAGAAAAACAGGAAAATGTATCATATCTAATTGATAAAGGACATTGGTGATTAAAATAAGTACACACTCGAACAATTCGCAAAACTAAGGCAAGCAAACAAGGTCGGAGAAATGATACGTTATCTGAAGAGATAGCAATCAAATAAAACCTTCTCTGAAACGTATTCACATCGACATCCACAGGAAATTGGCATTTACTTGCAGGACTTAAGCCAGAGTTTCGAAGGCTACAAAATAGATTTATTGCTAGCTATTCTGTGACTAAGAAATTGACTACGGGTATTCCCTTTCCTAGACGCAGCGGGATTTTCTGTATTATACCAGATAACATCTATTCCTTGCTAAATATTGTGTAAAATCTGAGGCTGCAACAATGTAACAGCAAAGCACAATACTAACAACAATTTTGTTTAAGATATTTAAAAATATTAACTCAACTCATGTTTTAAAAACATTTATTTTTTTATATAAATCATGGATAGCCTCTATAGATTTGCACAAATATTTTGTTATCTTTTAACTAATATGTAAAAAATTTACAATAGCTTATGAATTTCATTATAAATATATTGTATTCAAATACATTTGCACATTTCTATTTACGACAATATTGTTCAAACTTGTCAGTAACGTTGCATGGGGATAGATGACAGAAAAAAATTTAGTTCTTTGATCTGTAGCATATATAATTGTACAGTAGTAGAAATAAATAAAATTCTTGCTAAACTTATTAACACGGAGGCATAACATCTTAGTCCTCTGGACTGAATAACTACATACGTCACATATTATCATTCTATATATATATATATATATATATATATATATATATATATATATATATATATATATATATGTATATGCTACGACGCTCTTTATATAGGTATATAGGCTAGAAAATAATTATTATTACGTATAATACAATTACAAGACCAAAACGAGGTCTTATCGCTAAGCAATCTCTTACAGACATTCTTTAGGTAGACGGTGAAGATATTAAAAAAAATAGGTGGTGCACATAACAACACAACTAATATATAAATAATACATGCAAATGATATTATAAGAACTATTATCGAATAACAATATATATTCATTAAAATAATTACAACATTCAACATTGTAACTACATAAGTCATATTTCTGTGTCAAAGAAATCGACGAGGGTATTCCCACTACCCGATTTGATATTACAAATCGACGTACCTGGCTGTTAATAATTGTTAATTGAGAATTTATAATACATCTCCGCTTGCTTTAAACTTTCTATTTAATAATCTAATGGATGCACAACAATGTATATGATGTATGTGTAAATAATAGAATGCAGTGTATGCTAATTACTATTGACATATGAATGTTTTATTTACCTCGATGATGGAGGTTGTATAAATAACTTGCGATGGGCGCTGCATCGCATGTCCCTGTAAGACGTGATCATGAAGGCAGCCGTCGTCGTCGCAATTTTTCTGGCCTTTTTGGCTGTTGTATCATGTGTCGAGTTAGAGAAATCTACAGGTAACAAGTACTACATAAATATTATATCTGATTTGTATATTTAACACTCCTTTTGTGGTATATGAACAGATTTATTTTATGTATTGAATTTGTATCAACTTTTCTATTTTACATGTGCATGTAAAACAGAAAATTTTAAGTAATTAAGTATGCATCGAATTAATTACCTTATTGGCATTAACAATATTAACATGTAGTAAATTACTGTAGTAGTAGTAGACTAAAACCATCTTCCATGTTAAGAGACTTACTTAGACCCATTAAAGGATTAAAAGTTAAGTTAAAAGTTACAATAATTCGAGTAATTGTGAACAAAATAACAAACTTCCCAACAATATTTTTTTTGTTTTGTTCTATAGATATATAAATGCACTTTTAATTATATGTATACATGTATTCTATTCATCCACAGAGTCCGGTCACGTCATTCAAAAGAGAGGAGTAACCATTACAGCCAAACCGCCTTTTCCACGATGTGTATTTTATGAGTGCATTGCAAACTGCAGGAATAGAGGATATAAAAACGGTGGATACTGTACCATCAATGGATGCCAATGTCTTCGTTGACATCTATATTATTGTTTTAATAATTTTAAATAATACCTATAATATCAAAAACTACAAAGTATATGTGTTTCGAATGGTCATTTAAATAAATTAAAAGTAATAAAACATATGCCATATATTTTTGTGTATTTCATTTAATTTTTATTATAATGTAATATAAATAGAATTTATTTAATAATTTTAATATAAAAAAAGTTTCAAACAATTTTCGATTTACAAATTACCTATATGTTAACTATTTTTTATGTAGATTTTATATGTGCATATTGTATAATATATAGTACAATCATATACATAAAAATAGGTCTTTTTATATCTTATGCCTTTGAAATTAAGATATTAAAGATAAAATTATATGCATTTAAAACTTTTATTTAAATTTCAAATTCCAGTTTCAAATATTACTTTTATATCACTATGAATTTGAATTTCAATGAAGAAAAATTAAACCTGAACAAATACCACAAAGAATATAATATTACGAAAAGTTGATATAATAGGCTCATAATATCCTTTTGAATGTAAATTAGACTTTTTCGGTGGTCACCATTGTTTAAATGTTATGTCAGACTAGATCAGTTCCTGTTCAAATATGAACGTATCGAGGCGAGTCCATAGCATTTTCGCGATTGTTTCAGCTTCTATGATATTTTGCAGTACCTCTAGTAAATAGTCATATGGAGACAAGATTTTAATATATTTAAGAAATATCCAATTGTATAAAAATTTTTTGATGTGAATTATCTATATAAAAAATAATAATTGTATACAAAAAACAGAGAAAAATAGCTCTAAAGGTTTTAAATAATTAACAATAATTAACGATGGTCTCAGATTTTACCTTTATTTATTTTATTTTTGTTATGAAATGTAAATAAATATGTAATAAATAAATAACACATTAAGTAGTTATATTATGTACACGTTATAGTACAGTAGTTAATAAATCTTTTAAATAATACTGATCGAATATGATATTACTTATATAATATAATAAATAAAAGGAAATACTATGTGTGTCAGTATTTACCCATATTTTTTAGTTTGTACGGACTCAAAAAATATGATGGTATAGTAGATGGAACAATAACTCGTCTCAGTGAAACATCACCGCTGATGACTTTCTTCGTCCCAGTTCCAAAGTAATACGCTTGTATCACTAACTTCGAGCAATAACTAGGATTTGTCGACCACACGTCAGCAGTGATTTTGTATGTTATATGTTTTGTTTTCTTCGAACCTCCACTCGGGTTATAATAAGTGTGATCAGCCCAAATTGCTGCACCGTTTGCTGCATTACTATTCGGACAACGGTACACGGTGGTCCAATCAGACGCGTGTTCATCGAACCACTTGTGTTTGCTTATCTGTCTATTATTGTCTTTGATTCCGTTCTGCCACCCTGCACCACCGGGCATCTCTAACACCCAATAATCTGTAGTCATAATAGCGGCATGACCAACCAAACCACCGATGCCCCGTCCGGTCACCAAAATGTCTCCTTTCCTAACTGTATTCACGAACCGTCTTTTGTTGTCGGCTGTACTGCGTTTAGAGATCTTCCTTTCAAATAATGACTCCTGTGTATCGATGAGAATACCGAAGTTGTTCATAATGAGCCACTCCTCGTAATTAATCGGTTGACTGCCATTGATAGCTATATAGTTCTGGTACAAGTCTCTGAAGACGTTTTGTTCATCTCTCTCAAACGATGCGAAAGAATATTTTTCCGGATTAATTATTCCCATGTCGACTCCGATACTGTAAGTTCTGTTGATTGTTTCATTAGACAGGTTCTCCACTGTAAATAGTAGATTATATATATTTATAATTACATATTAATAACAAGTAATATCATAATATATTTAAATTTGTGACTTAAATAAACACAAGAAATATAAGACTTTTTGTAATCATAATGAAAGTGTGAAATATTTTTTTTAATGTGTATATAGGTACTTGTTGTGAGTTAACTTTGTATAAAATTGGCTCCTTACTAATTCGTGGAATTGGAAAAACTACCCAGTCATTAATAATTTAGTTTTCAATTTTTGCTTAATTGAAAGCCGACGCTTTAATTGAATTTCTGTCCGGAACATTAGAAGTTATTTATAAACACCGCTATTTCCACCCCAGTCCTGAACCAACATTTCCTTGTGTATCTAAATGTGGCACTTTCAATTAATTTATCTAATCTAATTAATTATTCAGTAGCTCACCATTTTGTACATTCTGCTCACAATATATTAAATTCACGTTCATAAAATAAAGAATCGCCAATAGCAATTGTAATCCTATTTTGGATACGATTTTCATGATGTCGGAATTTCTTTAACAATTCTGATTACAATATCTTGAAACACCACTTATATATGATAAATGTGATAATCAACAGAACAGAGTAATTAGGTCAACAACTTAGTTTATTGCGAGATATCGGGGATGTACTAGAGATAGCAAACGACTCATTGCTCTCGATTCTTAATTCCTTAAGTAGATATTATACATCAACTAAGATACCATAAGAAATAAAAAGTTCTAAGAACTTAAACTGCATGTACCTAATTACTGTTACTCCTGCGTAAACCGTTAGCGCAGGCAGGTGCACCATTCCATTATAAACCATAAAAAAAAAAAGTTACTGTTACTCCTTTAATAATTTGTGAAATATTGCACACATGTATATTGCAGCCTTAATGCTGTAAGGCGTTCGCCATTAATAATATATAATATACATAAATATATTGATCATATATTCGAAAATTATTCTCTGAAATAAATGAAAAACAGTCAATCAGTCATAAATTGAAATGAAAAATTAATAAGAAGAAATTTCTTCATTTTGTAATGCTTGTATATTACATGTCAAATGATTTTTTGTATTTGTTCGTACTTAATTTAATAAATCTATATACATATATGTATATACATACATATATATATATATATATATATTATTTATATTGTTAAAATGTTATTACTAAAAGCACCATGATGGCACGTTGTTTCATTTAGGCTACAAACATTCCAAAACAGTCACGATTATAAAAAAATCCGAAACTATTTATTAATTTTAATTAGCTACATTTTAGTTAATATTTTAATATACATCTATCTCGTTCCTGCTGGTACCGTAATATCTCTGTTCTTGTTGGCTTAATCGGTGGTCTCAAGGTGAAATACGAATCGCCAAATCAGCAACCGATTGGTAAACAGTGTTTCATTGTTGCGAAGAGTGGTCTACTGTTGCTGGGGTTGCCAACCATTCTTTATAATAACGTATCCTACTTTATTTTTGGTAATTATACTTTTACATACAAATAAAATGCAAAAATACTTTATTTTCAACCTTTACTGTGATGCGTAAAACGAAATACTCATTGTCGATACTTAACGATTTTTATTTAATGAACGAAATGTTAGATGTCTATTGTGAGATTGTTGTGACATTTGTCACAGCTCTAGTGTTAAAAGCACACAAAATTACGTTTTTAAAGCAATAAAAACATATAATTTCAAATACATTTTTTTTCCTAATACTTTGCTTTTTATTCCTATCCCAACCAGCTTATACGTTTTTATTGTAAAAAAAAGTTAGCAACCCTAACTGTTGCTGCCACTATAATCGTTCGAGAAATCCTTTTGTACATATATGTCAGCAAATACATAGTCAGTAATAAATTATATCTACAACACTCTTCTAATAGTATATAGTCATCCACCATAACAAACATAAAGATACGAAATTCGAAACTTATTTCATTTTAACGTATTTGAACGCAGGTACTACGGAAAGATCTCAGATCTCTGAGAAACTTTACTCATTTGCGTTGTCGTCAATTTTTTTATTTAACTTTAAATTTAATTTATATCAGTCACATCTTTCCACGAAGTAATATCTGAAGTGTACTCTTATTGTCACGAATTATTGCGAACATTTTATTGTTTGTTGAAAATAAATAGATGTAATATACAACACCGAACTTATTGCCTGTATTGATAGAAAGACAATGTTGATTACTAAATTGTTTATATGTCTATATTACTTTGTAAGGAGAGTATTAGCTTTACAAGTTAAGTAGTTGTTGAGAATGGTGTAATAGTGTAGTAAATATAAGTAATATTTCAAGGAAAAGGAAATCCCGCAAAAAAAGTATTCAACACTAAGAGAAAACTGTCTTAAAACATTCTAACTAAGTAACAAGCCATCCCTTACTTTGTCGGTAAATAAATTAACCTAAGAGATATAAATATTCCCCACGTAGTCAGTACCCCAAAGTTGTTAACTAAATGGGAATAAGTGCTAACAACTAAGTTGGATTCGCTTTAGGCGAAATTGATCCCGTATAAGATACATATATATCTACCTGGTCGGCTATTTGAGTATTCTCCAATTACTGTGCTCGTTGATATTCCGAAGGAGTGTAGAGTTTTCAGACTCGTGTAAAAATACAAGGATATTGTTTTATTTGTATATATACTTAAAATACGTCGATTTACACCGACTTACTTCTGATAGTTGCTGGTTAGATGGCTCGCACGATGCAAACATTTTTATTCATAAGTATGATTGTTTGTTATGTTATGAGTGTTTTCTATACATACATACATACATACATCTATGTGTATTGTACCTTATGTATCTGAATTTACAAAAAAAATTAAAAGTTAAACACAACCTCCGCTTAGCTTAGGACTAACAGATGAAGAACTGTATAAAAATGTGCCTATTAGTGATGAACACGAATATAACAAAATTCGAATATGTTTGTGACACAACTTTGTGTGTAATTATATATATGTATATAATTTTTTTTTTTTTTAATTATACAGGGAAGCGACCTTTAATTCAACTTCTAATAATACTTTTCAATTTTATTCTGTAATATAAATAATAAAAAGCCGCTATTTCCGTCTATTTATTTCTGTGCTTACTTCTTCTAAATCGCACAACCGTATTGATACGGTTTTCGCCATCTCTTCGAGATTTCCTTAAAAAAAATGTATATATAACAAATGTCGTATACCTTTGTTATATTAACGCCAACAGGTTGTAATCGTGTAAGAATTAAGAATACAAAGATCTAAAGAAATCCCTGAATGTTTTTGTGTATAACTTTGTTATTATCCTAATATACAATATAAGTCAACCTCAGCGTATGCAACGATATCGCTTGTAAGCGAATCAAACAGCATGTTTGCTGGAATGGAGAAATTGTGTTGTCATATGCAAATTATTCACTGGCTAAATGGAGTGTAATGGAGACATTAGCACAAACACTCAGCCACTTGGCAAATTGCACCTTTAGTAATTGCACTTCAGGGTGAACAGACATTTGTTGCTGCGTTTACATGGAATCTTAAAGATTTATTGTAAACTGCGGTTGAAAGCTGTTTGTTAGTTAGTGTAGTAGTCGTAATTATTACTAATAATTCATTCCGAATTCTTAACTGAATATAAGAAGTTAGGATGTTCTACAAATTACTACTTTTTTTATGTTAATCGAAATATTTGTAAATTTAAATGCTGTTTATAATTCTACATTTACTTTGAACGTAGATTCTAAATGCGTATACAAATAATAGGTAGGTATATATTTTATATTATTTGAGAAAGAAATCAGAAACTTCCGCACGTATCTTGAATGCACAAAATAAAATAACTACTAACTCTGCTAATCTATTTTTTATAAATTATTTTAAATTTCCATTAAAACCATGCAATAAAACATAGGTGTCATTTTTCATAATGATATATTTCTAAAATTTACACTTATATCAACTTATAATACAATAATATAACTAAATGTAATTTAATAATTCGGAAAACACACATCAAGTCAAAACATACATAATATTTTTTATTAGAATGTCATTAAAAGGAAAGTTTAATAATAATATTCTTCTTAAAAACTGTTAACTGATTGAGTTTTGTAAAATACAGCGTTATTACTTTTGTTTGTATTATGCCGATTAATTTCGTTTGGAAAGTCAGAAAATATATCTATTATTTATTTTTTTAATTCTATACACATAATCTCTTAAACACACATGATTAAGTCAATACTAGTCAAATTAATTTGCATTATAATTGATTAATTTTATTTTCACTCTTACTATGCTACTATTACTACTCTTATTATTTACACTCACACTATTTTCTCCAGACTTAGCCTAATATAACTAATAATAAATAATAGAATAATAACGTCATCTATATTATACACCCACTTCAGAGTAACATTTACAAACGCCCCCCTTGCATGTGCCAGAACTCTTGCCTTTGAGGCCACAAAATTCATTGCAATCCGTTTTGCATGGGTTTTTTTCATTTAATGCTGCGTCGACCTCTGAAAGAGAAAAATATAATTAAACAAAAATTAAAACCTACGTAGAAAGAAACTAAGAACTAAAAGCGGTTAGACATAAGACAATGGTAATAATTGTTTACAACCACCGCCATCTCCAATCAACCCTCGGGTTGACCATGACATTTATGTCAGTATCATAATATCGGAAACTTATAAATAACATTAACATTTTACGTTCTTAGTTGTACAATTGAGTTATGTAAATATTCTAAATATACATGTCGGAGATATAGATTCTATATTAACATGCTATATAATATGTACAATTATAAAAAAATCCTTGAAAAAGTTTATAAACCTATTTATTGATGACAAAAATATTTCAAAATCAGTTTACATAAGATCTTTACAAAAATCGGTGAGTGCGTGTACTATACAGTAACTTTTATGTACAAATATCACAATAGAAAACTATAGTCCTTCCTTCCCGTAGTCAACCTATTCTTAACTTCGGGAAACAATACTGCATATAGAGAAAAATATTAGGGAAGGTCCATTACCCACAGTTGATAAAAATCAAGGATGAATCTCCCATCTTTTAACAAGCTGTCAATCAACTCATACTGCAATAACAAAATGAAAACAAAAGTGAATCTGTATCAATGACTCATAACGGCCACCTTGGCAGCAGTAATGCCCCGACACTGGCTCACCAAGTTGAATGACATGTACACATTCAATACTTATTGAATCTGTACATGTCATACAACTTGGTGTTACAGTGTTACAGTGTTTACATTAAGGGTCAGTTACGGCTCTTTTTACGTCACCACATCTGCGAAGAGTGAACTGTGTAAAATTGCAAAGTGGTTCTTAGAGCAAGCAGCTGTAACCACGTGTAGCCTATGTAATTAACTACTCGACCGCGATTATACTCTTAGTTTGTACTACTCTTTACTCTTTCGCTAAGCTATGAGGGTATATATAACTAGTGTGTTATTCGCCGCATATATT